CTTGCTAGTATGGGAACTATTTATGCACGTTTATTTGCCACAAGTTTTTCAACGGCTCGGCGCCAGTGAGCCATTCGCAATCGTGTGCTGCGAATGCCGCATTTTACTAAAGCCAGCCTTTATATATAAGCTACGAACACATACTACGTTTATACGTAAGCTATTTGCAAATAAAAAAATTTGCAAATACCTAACTCACTGTTTATTCGATGGTGAAAAATTCTTTTTTAATATTGCCTGATTATGAAAAGGCAATAATATGACCATCGAAAAGGAAAATTAACCTAAGAATGGCAGGGTCTTGCGCTTATTTGCAAATAGTACCACTAATCAATACTTATTTGCGCGATTTAGTTATTTGCAAATAAAAAATTAACTCAGCGTTTATACGGCAAAGTTTACCATTTTGCAAATTGTTATTTGCAAATAATGCGTGCGTATAAACGTAGTAATAGATATGTATGTATATCAATTTATCCTTATACGTAAATTAGAGTGGTTCATAAAAACACTCTTTCATAAACGCTACATTAGAATATTTGTTATTTGTGATAAAAAAAGAGACACGTATTTTTTTATTTTGAGAAAAAATTTTCTTAGGGGTCTCGCTGGTCGTTTTTTTATTTTCTTGACATGTCAAAATGTAGCTAAAAATGTGGTTTTTACATATAATTAATCTGGTATTATTGGGAACTTTCCCTTAATTACACACCTGTCTTGGACAATTAGAATGGGTTCTTTTTCCCGAAAATATGCTCTCGAAAAGAGATTAGTAAAATTAAAACGTTGATACTGAACGATCTACGCATTGTCATGGGATGGAACTTGTTACCAGGGGGTTTTTGGGGTTTCTAATTAGGAATCTGAAGTCATTTTTTCGAAATTCAAAATGGTGGATCCAAAATGGCGGTCCATTTTTTAAAAAATGATTGGATTTGTTCGAAACCCGGCACTCGAGAGCTTTTGTGGTCACCGATTACGAATCTGAAGTCAACTTTTTTAAATTCAAATGGATCCGTCATTTTGAATTTCAAAAAAAATTTGTCTCTAAGGTAAATATTATAAATGTTCCTTTAAAAAATATTTAATATACGATTGTAATGCACTTTGCACGCAATATTAAAAAAACGTAATAAAAACTGTGGTGTAGTGGTATGCAGTGCGCGCTTCCACTCCGCAGCACCTGGGTTCAAACCCTGGTCAAAGCAACATCGCAAAAAAAATATAGAAAAAAGGTTTTTTCTTAACAGCGGTCATCTCTCGGCAGGCAATGGCAAACCTCCGAGTGTTTTTCTGCCATGAAAAACAGCTTCTCATAAAAATACAATCGCCGTTCGGAGTCGGCGTAAAACTGTAGGTCCCTCCGCTTTGTGTGACAGCATCAAGGCGCACGCCACAATTCGGAGGAGAAGCTCGGCCAAACACTAACATATGTGTAAGCGCCAATCTATTATTATTATTAATAAAAACTGAAGTGGCATATTTTCTTGATACAGAGCAACAAACTCCACTCAACTTCTCAATGTTATAGAAATTGGTCCATTTTTTACCACTTAGTAAATTTTTTGGACTGGAAAAGAAATTGGAAACAGCAACCGTGCATTAGCAATAACAATGCAGCATCTTCTCGCTTCCGCGAATTTTAACATAGTCCAACATGCACACTCAGCAAATTACTATCTTTGCAACTTCTTTACTATACTTTAAAAGTAAAAAAAGTGAAAAGTAATTTCATTCAAGCAAACATTTTAAATCGTCGCTCGAATAAAGAAACAGTGTAAATGCCACATACACTATTATTCGATAATTGCACCATTGGATAGACAATACTTTAATCTATTAGAAAAATCTTTAGTTTTCTTAAATATCTCTTTGGCTCACCAATTTATTCCCGAAAAACGAAATTGTATTTGTATGGTTTGTAATGGTTTATAAAAACTTCCAATTCGTTTTTCTCATATTTCTATACTTTTCATGTTACACTATTTCATTATTCCAGCGACGAAATATTCCTTTACACTTGCGCCTTGCTATTATACATACACTTCTCTCAAATCACATACATATATATGTATATATTTCACAAGCACACACTTTGTCTATGCCTACATATCGCACACCGTCTTCAAAAGAGTCACAACTCACAATTTGGCATTTTTGAAATTGTGTGCTAAAAATGTACACAGACCTTTTATTTACCTTTCAGCAAAAGCTGGAGCAAATATTTGTAATAATTTGCTAAGAAAACCCAAAGGTAAAGTCGTCCTTGTCCATATGATTAACATGTGCTACGAAATAGTTTTTCGCATTTTCTGACGAACGCATTATTTTGAGTTGTGACTCTTTTGAAGACGGTGTGCGATATGTACGTATGTATTCCGCATACATATCTACATTCCTAGCACACTACACTTCAGGTATAAGCGGACTGTATTAACTCACTTGCTTGAAAAAATTAAAAAATTGTTTAACATCACACTGAATAAAATAAATGCTAACGCTTTAACATTTCTTTCACCATAATCTAGCAAACAAAATTCACGCAGCTTCACAAAACATGGCTCCACACTTCCGCCCTCTCGCTCTCATTATTAGCATCCATTTTGAAAAAATAGAAAAACCAAAGGCACCGAATCCGGCTCGACACTGACCAAACTGTATTTCACAACTAACGGAAATATGTCTTTGCATAATGCATTCTGCATTATGCTATTCTTTAAACAAAAGGAGGAAACCCCAAATTAATGCACTTATTTTTTGGAAGGGAAAAAGGCAACGCTTTGCTTGACAGTTCGAACTTTGACAACAAAGCGTGAAACGTAGAAGGTATGCAACAATAAACGCTTTGACAGCTTTTGCGTTCTCCTTTTCCTCCATATTTTATATCTGTAAAATAGATAACCAAATAATAATATGCATTAATAATAGCAATAATAGTTCCTATTTACCTTATTTTTGTCTTTAAATGCAAATGCTCACGAGAAAAGATACATGTTGATTGCCAAAGTGCGCAAAAGTTGAGCCGATGATTTTGCTTCGGTTTGCTTTCCTCGCATTCTATTTAGCAAGACTCGTATAAAATCAGTTGCGATCCCGTACGAGTCCGGACTAGTCAGAAACAGTCAGATTTTACTGGAAATCGATCCCGTACTCGGTTCTCTGACTATTGAGAGGACAAAAAAGAGAGTAAATACGGTTCTCTCTCTGTCAGAAGTTACTAGTTTTAGTCCGATAATTTTTTGCTGGTAAATTCTGGTAAATGTGTCAAACGATCAGCTGTAGTGTGTTTGGCAACCGAATTGTAAACAAAAGAAAAGTGCACTCTGCTAATTCACGTTGAAAAGTATTTAATTACTTGTTTAAGTGGATTCTAATGAATCTGAAAGTATTTTTGGTTATTTACATGTGTGAGCTTTGTGTGTTTACATACAAAATAAGCAAAAATTTACAACCAAAATTTGGAGGTTATGTTGAAGTTGACAGAAGTTACCATTTTTTACTAGAAAGCGATCCCGTACTTTTCAATGTTTTCTCTCTCGCTCTGAGCGAATTTTTATTTTTTGACAGTTTCACTAGTCCGAGTCCGAGGAATACGGGATTGCACCTATCATGTATTGAACTTATCTGTCAAAGCGGAATTATGAAGCGGCAGTTTATACTTTATTATTATTCTTCATCGCACACACACGTCTAGCTCACTTGAAATTCAAAAACCAACTCCCTATTCGTATGGCGACGATCGTCCCAGTGCGAAAAAGAGCATTCGCATTGTGACATCGTCCCTGTACGACTCAAATATAAAACAATTCAGTTTAAAACACAAACAAATTTATCTGGCGGAAAAAAATTAAATAAAAATTTCATTATAGACATGACAAGAAGATTCGAGGTTGCCATATCCAACATATTGTATTTATTGATCAATATTATTGAAGATTTAACTTAAATCTACTGCCTTTCGAGATTTAATTCTATATGGTAAATCTCGCAAGATTTAACGTTGAATATTGTCGAAGGCCTAAATCTCATTTAAATCTTGCAATGGAGACATATTAGGGGTATTCTCCAAATCTTGCAAAGCCATTGCACGTAGCACGGATTGCAGGGATTGCATAACTTGCAAACACACAACCACAAAATACATGGGAAAAAACATTTCCTATCGCTGCAAAATATTCAAATGCGACCCTGTGCTAGTTGTTTTGTTGATGGAATTGTTACATATTTCTCTCATTCCTCTCATCTCGCTCTAATCTTTTTTTTGCTGTCTCTTGTTATTGTAGTTGATACATAATGTCGCTGCTTGCTACCCATGCATCCTACCACTTTGCAATGGGTGCTCTCGTACTCTTCGAAATTTGGAATAGTATTTTTGCATTTCGTGCAATCCGTGCACCGTGCAAGACTTCGAGAATACCCCTATTATAAATTAACGCGATCCCTTGTGGTACCACAAAGGTCCCAATGATGGCCCTTTGGTGTGTCTACCAGCTACCATTCTAACCTAACCTTCCTAACCTAAGTTGCGAATTTCTTGCAAACCCTGTTTTTAATTGATAAATGCTGAATTGGTTATTTTCAAATTCCATTAGGTTTTTAGGGAGTCATCTAGGGATTTTTGTATAAAGCAGGATTTTCTAAGAAAATTAGTATGGCCTTTCATATTATTTTTACCTTCCTCTTATTAGCTCGGGATGTAACTATGTAATATTGATGCGCCTAAAAGATGCAGCGATTTCTATTATCAAGTTACATACCTGATTACAGTACGAATGGCAATTATAATAGGGCGGTTTTAGTTTTTTAAACTATATTTTTTTTTATTCTTCTTGGTCTTTGGCGCTGTAAACGCCTAAGCGATTTTGGCCGAGTGCCAACTGAAGCCAATTGGAAATGCCAAGTGAAGTGAAGTCCTCCTCCACTTGGTCTTTCTATCGCTGCACTATGTCCATGATGTTGTAATTTTCCAATCTTCTGCGCCATATACAAGCACGAGCATTATGAGTAA